TGTATCTAACTACAGTCACTTGTAATAGGTATAAATAAATTTCTAAACTTAAAATTAGTGAATTATAATAGGACTTCTATGCTTATCAAGCCTAGAGTAAATGATTCAATATATTCACCAATTGTTTAAGAGAAAGGATATAGATACAAAGAGAATAAATTACTGGGTGAAAATAAACTATTGTTACAGTATAAAATAAATATAAAAAAGCAGATCTTTCACATAAAGGCAGCATCAGTGGGAGTTATTTTTATAAGGTGAAAATATGTTCCATTCCATTTAATGGCATTACTCTTTACATTAATGTTTTTCAAAGTAAAGGGTTTATTTTACTCTACAGAGAAACCTCCAGAATATTACTTGCTAATTACTCATACTATTAGTCAATCATTTCGTATTTTTCAGTTAGTCTTCAATTAAGATTAATATCTTGAAAGTTAAAAACATTTCATAATGTCGCTAGCTCAAAATAACCAATAAGTTTGGAATAACATTTATTAACATTTACATAATGCTTATTATCTTCCCAACACTATCATTTAAATATATAACTTATTTAACATTCTCAACATATTATAACTATCTCAGACTAGATAACTTCCTTCTGTAGCCAATAATAAATGGCACACTCAGGATTCAAACCTAAGTAGTCCACTTGGGAGATTGTACATTTAATAGCTAATCTATCCCACCTCTAGAGTGAAATTCAGCCTCGGTCTGCTATACATTTGAAAGCCATTGTTAAACTACAAGCAGTCAAGATTGTCAAACTTTTTACTCATTGTGAAAGTGAATGTGAGAGTTTCAACCAACTAAAAAGGAAAGTGAGCATAATAAATATTCCAAAAGATTGCACAGTATAAATGCTAAAAGCAGAGATGGTGGCATTTCTGTGATTTCACCCTGAGATTACTTCCAGTCAGAATAAACACATAAAAAAGCAGTCATATTTAGCATTCAAGGTCATACCATTTAAACTATTTACACATTCTGAAAAACTCCAGTAGCATCCCCCATAAACTATGCTCAAAGATAATTGTTCCATTAACCTTGTTCTCATATATTAAAGATACATTATTCTAAAATAACTAACTGATCAAATTGTTTAAACAATTTTATTATTGGTCAAAAAATTTCACATACTTTAAGTTTCTATAGAGGAAAGTCAATCTTTATTGGAGAAAATGTGACATAATTCGCTTTTACTCTTCCAAATAAAAAAGAGCATAGAGGTTACGCTTTATGATTCCAGCCTGAAGTCAGTCAAAAAGAAAGCATGACTCAATAAATGTGGATCTACTCTCCTTTGAGGGTGTATTTTAAAAGAGCAATAGGAGAGAAAGCAATGTACAGCTTCTCAGGAACTGAATTTCAAAGGCCTTACTTAGCTCTTCTTCCACATGGGAAAATTAAAAAACTTTTTGCCTTTTATTTTCCATTGTGAGATCCTAAATGGCAAAATAAGTCCAAGCTATATAGGTCCCCATGTCGTGTTAGATGCAGTAGCACCCATAGTTCAAGGAATGTAGGACACAATGGTCTATGTAGCTGGCTTCTTTGAACTCTAGTAGCAAACTTAAAAAAAAAAAAAACCTTTAGCACGTTATCATAGATCTCAAAATCAGTCAAGAAACTTCCTTCAACTGGGGTTGCCACATTAATGAGATCACAGAACAAAACTGCTGATTTAGAATTAAATATTTTGGTAAGGAAGGTTTACTATTATAAACTAAAAAAACATAGTTCATAAAAATAATTGGATGTGCAATAAATGGTATTTTTATATGACTCATCACTCTGGATTATAAGCAGCTTAAATTAAAAATGGAATCCTCTGAATTTAATTAAATGGCTTTTAAAAATGGTTTTACAGACATTTAATGTAGAAAAACTGATATATCTATTTTGTCTACCTTAAAATCTAAGCAGTTCACCTTCTTTTAAAAATATAATTTAAAATTATGACAATGTAATATTAGCCAAACTAGTAAATAAAAATTGAGTAAAGAATGTAATTTTATCTGATGCACTTTTAAATCAATATTATTAGTATAAACATCTCCTTTTCTTTGAAAAATCTTCCTTAGTTTAATTTTGTATGTAGCTTCTGTATAATACTCAATGTTTAAAAGAATATTCAAAAATCAAATTATCTCAATATTTTAAAAAATGCAACTGCTAAAAAAACCATGTTTAAGTTTATTTAGCTATGCTAGTTTATTGGCTCTCTAGAAATAAAACTATTGAGCCAAAAGTTTCTACATATTTTTTTAGCAAGTGACACACAGGGACTATATTTAAGGTTCTGAAATTTTCACTTTGCTTATGATGATAAACAAAATTATCTATTATTTGACAAGAGAAAGGATGATTTCAACAAGAGAATGGTATATATGAATCATTACATTTAGAAGAATATACAAGAGGATTATATTTTCCGCTAAAGCTAAAAAATAAGCAATTATTTTCTTTTTTTGGTCAATAGTGATTCAGGAGGTGAATCAAGCTCTTGTGGGGGCTCTGTGAACATCATCACCAGCATCAATCTTCAACGACCCCAGAACTGAGCCCGGAACTGAGAGTTAAAAGAATGAAAAGAGCAGAGCTTTTCCTCTAAAATATCGCTTTATATGCATATATTCCATGAGTTCTAAAAGCAATAAACTTTCAAATAAAACATAACACAGAAGTTGAGTGGTCAGAGACTGCTTTGGATGGAATTATGGCAGGATTTAAATGACATCTAGTCCAGGTCCCCATCTTACATAGGAATCCATGGCATATGGTCATTTTGGCCCCTTCATCAACACCCACAACGATGGGGGTCTCATGAATTCAAAATTTCTAACAGACTTTGGAAAGCTCTGTTAGAAAGCTCATCTTCGTGAAGATAAAGATGCTTCATCCTTTAAAAATTTCCATAGATTCGTCTTAGTTTTGTCTTGTGGAATGTCACAGGATAGTCATAATTCTTTTTAGTACTTAATAGCTTTTCAGTATTTAATGACAGCTTTCATGCCCTCACTTTCCCAAGTCTTTCCACTGAATTAATAGGCGATATCTACGACATCTAATAATCTCCCCCTCTTTCTTTTCTAGACATATTCTTGCTTAGAGTTACGGTTTGCCAAGGTCCATTTCAAAAGGTAGTGCTCAGAATGAATACAACATTAAAATGTGTAAAATAGTTCATCATTGTGAACTATAATAGGGCAATCATCTCCCTCATTAGGATACCATCATTCGTCCAATTAACAATATATTAACTTTTGTAGCCACTTTTCATTACAAATACCAAACTCATTGCCAACAAAACCATGGTCATTAATTGTGTAGTGGAGTTCTTGGACTCAAATCAGAACTTTACATTTATATCTATTGCTATAAGACAGTATCATGACATCAAATAGGTTAATATGAATCCCAATTTGAGCCTCAGGTATGTCATCTTGAAAAATACCAAAATACTCTATTTGCCTTCCTAACTCATATCCTTCATATTGAGCAATGTTGACCTCCAAGTCAATGTTTACATTAGCCTATCTCAAGTCATCAGCTGTTAATACTCAAGAATCCCCAAAAGAAAACGTTTACTTGTATGCCAATTCACATTTAAGAAATTTTGCCTGAGACATCTTTTTCATTTGTTTGCTTTTAAAACTGGTTTCATAGAGAACATTTCCCTAAATCCTTCGTGATAGCTTCATGGAGTAAGATTAAGTGGTTATTCAAAACACAGGCAATGACCTGCTCGATTCCATCTTTGAGGCAGGACAAATAATGTAACACCACCAACAAACTTTTAATTTATAAGAATATGTACATACACACATATTGCACATGAAATGTGCCTGTGAGCTATCAACATATGCAATCGCGTGTGAAAAACAAAGATACATTACTTTCGTTAAAGTTGTCCTCTTTCCAAGAAACTTTTTTTACCGCACTCTTCCCTCCTTCAGGGCCATAATTTTCTTTCAAGTTAATAGAGTTCTGCAAGATCTCAGTTTCCCTAGGTGCCCATCGCAACCTTCAAATGAAGCTCTCATTTAGGTGGCCTGAGCTTTTCCATCCAACTCCTAAGAAACACGACTCCCACTCCTAATCAGAAGCCAGATGAGAGTTCAATCACAGAGAACTAACACTCAAAGAGGGCAACCCCTGAGTAGAGCAATTCATCCAGGTGACCATTTCTCTCCTTCCGAACTACCAACACTAAAATCCGCTCCTAGTGCCCCGCCTTCTTCCAGAGCCTGCTCCCGCGGACCAGCTCCGGGTGAGCGCCCGGGTTAGTCAGTGCGCACGTGACGCGCGGTGCCCACATGACACGACTGTGGGCGGGGGAGGGGGGACAGAGGAGTGAAGCGGGGAAAAAGTTAAAGACGACTAGTCAAAGCGCTCAAAGCACTGGGTCCCTTCCCTTCTTCGTCAACTATTGGCTCAGGGATCCCTAGGGGAGGATTGCGGATCACGGCATCTATGGTCCAGCTCCCCAAACAGGGTGGCGGGGAGGGGGGCCGTAGTTCGCTCGCCCCGCCACCTTCTGCTCCTCTCCGCCCTGCTGGTGATGCCGCTGCACCCTCAAGTTCTTCCTTCCCTTTCTCCCTCTTTTTTTTTTTCTTTCCTTCCTTCCTTCCTTCCTTCCATGCTTCCATCCATCCCTGAAAGCTCTTCATCTACTGCGGGCGATGCCACTGACGCACATTCATTTTGCCCCGGGAGCTCGTCCGCACCTCTGAGGTCACACAAGGCCGAGCACCTTCCAAAGGGGAGGGTATAACTGCGCAAACAAAGTTGCATGCCACAGCACAATCCGCCCTCCCTTCCATTTAGCCCCTTGTTCGGATCCTCAACACATCTCACTTGCTTTGCCGGTACTCTCGACTTCACCCCACCACTATGCAACACACCCCCTTCCACAGCGAGCCCACCCTTCCATTGCCCCGCGCTTCGAGCGGTCCAGCTTCCTGGCAAAGCCCGGAACAAGCCGCTGCGCTCACCTTGCTTGACACACTTGAGCCGGAGGGGGTCCTTGCAGTGTTTGATCACAGCCAGCACGTCCCTGATGGTTAGCCCCGCCACGGGGGTCTCGTTCACCTCCAGCAGCAGCTCCTCCGACACCAACTTGCTTCCGCTCTCATAGGCCACCTTGCCGGGCTTCACCTCCCCCAGGTAGGGGAATTGTCCATTCTCGGCGCCCCCCTTCAGTTCAAAGCCCAGCTGGCCCTCCGGGTTCCTGCCAATGACACTCTCATGGACTTTGCTAGTCCAGTGGCTTTTCTTTTTCAAGCTTTTGGACATGGCAGTGGGGCTAGTCGCCTCAGCTTCTGAGGGGTTCCTTTGGGGTAGAGGGTTTGGCGGTGAGAGAGTGAGGATGGAGGAGCAAGGGGGCCAAGAGGTGAGAACAGCAGACTTTGCCTTCCTTCCCCTCTGTTCGATGCTTTCCCTCTTCTTTGGATGGAGTGTGGACGAGGAAGGGGGAGGATGAGAGGGACGGCTGGGCAGAGGTAGGAGAGCTTGGGTGAGGCTGTGCTGTCCCTTGAATGACACTCAAAGCTGTGGCCCCGCAGCAAAGGAGAGCTATGGTGGTGGTGACGGCGGCGACGGCAGCCTGAGCGAGCAGTAGCCGAGCTGGTGAGCGGGTGGGGTGGGGGTGGGGAAGGAGGGTAGGGATGCCGGGGGCCACTCCTGCGTGGTGCGAGTGGGAGCGCGCGCGCGCGCGCCTGGGTGTGTGGTGTTAGCTGATATCCATGGCAGCTGCAGTGGCAGCGGCGGGTCCGTGTGTGCGCGTGTGTGTGTGTGTGTTTGTGTGTGTGTGTCTGTACTAGTTGTACAGTACTGGCAGGAGGGGAGACGGCAGAGGAGGAGGGAGCAGCTGAGGGGAGGAGGGGCGCGCCCACGCCGGGTTGGGGGCCGCTTCGCCGCTGTCTCCGCTCCCTCCCACCGCAGCTTGACCCGGTAGTGAAGGCGGAGAGAGAGAGGCAGGCTGGGCCCGCCTGGCAGCCTGCAAGAGGAGGCGGGAGCGGGAAAGGAGGGGAGCCCAGGCCGGGAGTTGGGAGGCCGGCGGGCAGGGATGCGAGCCGAGTGCGGACCTTTCTTCAGCCTCCTAGAGGCCGAGCGCTGTGCTAGGCTGCGGCGCTGAGAGGACGTCCTGGCTCCCCCAGGACGGGCTGGGCTAGGGCAGAGCTAGCGAGACCTGGACTTGAGTGCTACGGCTGGAGCGCCGCCGGCCCCCTGGCGCGGTACCCTGCTGAGAGAAAGCTGACTGTGGGGCCCGCTATGGCATTGCGGGAGAAGCCTGGGCGCTGGGAGCCGGGAGAGGCGCAGCAGCTCACTGTTAGAGACTTCGTCTCTTCACGTTTTCAGTCAGACTCGTGGCAGAGTTCTCAGAATTCCCCTCAGAGGAGCGGAAAGTTAGAGAACTGCAGGCCCCGCACCCCCGACACCGGGGAGGGCGAAGCAGCCTCGCCTTCCCCGGGGCGGGCGCAGCCCACGCGTCGCGCCGGGACGTGAACTCCGCGTGGGAGGAGTTGTCTGGTGAAAGGCAATTTCCAGGAGCGAGGGGAAGGGGCTTCGCGCTTCCTGGTTAGGTGCGGCGGAAGGGAAGGGGCTGCGGGGTGAAGTAAGGTTGCAGCCTCAGAGAAGTGTACAGTTTAACGCGCGAACTGCAGCCGAGACGGCAGGGGCACGCCCTCGCCCAGAAAAGCCCTCAGTGACTCGGGCTTATAGCTTGGGAAGAAACCTTAAATTGACCCGGCCCGACAACCTCCTGCTGCAGAGAAGGAAAAGAAGCCTCCGAAGGTGAACATAGCGGCAGAATCGGGGCTGGAACTCAGCTCGCCGGCCCATCACCAGGCTCCTTTCCCTTCACCAACTTTGCAGCCAGGACGGAGAGGTGAGGACAGGGGCTCAAGGATGCAGGAGGGCTGCTGATTTTCACTCAACCGCAAATTTCGTGTAAACTGTAAGGAGTGATTTAAAAAATTCCTACAACTGGTAAATGAATTTCGTTTGCTTTACTTTCAAAGGATACATTTAAGACCAAAAAAAAAAAAAAAATGTCGCACACCCACTCATCTCTTTAAAGCAAAACATGAAAAGCACTGAGCAATTAGAATTCCTGATGTCTGAGATGAAGATAGTGTGGGAGGCAAGCGGTGCAGTTAAAAATGTTTAGTCGACCCAAACAGAAAGGCCGGGTATGAATTCAGACTATGCTATTTACCAAGAGTATGACCTTGAGTAAATGGTTTAACCTTTCTGAGGCTGTTTCCTTATTCGTTAAATAGAGTTAAAAGCACTCATCTTATAGGCCTATAATGAGGGTAGAATCAGGTAATGCATGTAAAGTGCTTGCCTGACTTAGGAAGGCACTCAAAACGGTAATTTCCTTTTTTCCTTCTCAAGTATAACTCATTATTTGGGGAAAAGGGAGATCAAATTTAGTAAGAACTGGAAGAGATTTTAAAGAAAGATGATTTGTTGAATAACCATGTGTCTCTTCAGTTGAGAAAATGAATCCCCAGTGAATTGGATGCACCTGATAAGGATTAGTTAGTGAGCCAGGGGCAGTGCCAGGATATGAAACCAGAGCTACAAGCAGTGCCCAGGAGTGAGCAAGACTTTTTGTAGCATAGCCCAATCTCACCCAAAGAAGTTAGGTTTCAGCATTATCAGACACAATCCTAAATCGAAACTGGTAATGAATTGAATATGTATTTTTAAACATCAATTACAAACTAGCACACTAATTTTTATCAAATTCTAACTACATGCCAGATGTTCTGTAGGCTTTACATACATTAATTTATTTCTCCTGACATCTTAATAAAGTAGGTACTTTTATTATCTTCCTTTAAAGATAAGGAAACTGAGGCATAGAGATTAACTTTTGCAAGGCAAAATTAGTCAATTGGTGAAGCTAATATTCAAACCTAACGGTTTTGATTCCAGACCTGGTCTCAAGCATTGCATTGTCTCTCTCCCCATCTACTTGCCATGTGTCATGCCAACAATCAGTACATAATACTCCAAAGTTTCCGTCTGCATTTTATTGTAGGGGTAATTAGGAAAAAAGAAAACAAATGGAGCAGGAGTTTGGCATAAAGTATTTTACCCTTGAGAATCCAGGACAGTCATTGAGGTATGCGTTAGCTAATTTACTGCTTCTCAGCTCCTAATTCATCTTTGCCCTTAATTGTGATATTAGAGCCAGAGCTTAAAACATTTCTTTGTTGTCGGTTGGCACAATGTTAAGACTTGTCAGTAAAAGGTGCTGGAGGGACACTGCATTAAAAAAGGGGCTTGTCCTCTTTGTTTTCTTCTTCTATAATGTGGCGGTCAGTGGGTGGCTTTCTGGCTAGTCGTGCGCGAGAAAACAGTGTTTCACACCCTCCAGTAAGTTTGGTCAGTTCCTTAGTATGCAGCTTCCCAGTAAGGCTTGCTGGCATCCCCAGTGGGTAAGCTTCCTAGCAAGTTTCACTGGCACCCCAGCTGGTGGTTTCCTCACCAACTCAGTCTGTGTTACTTCAACAAATTTGTTGATCATCAAAGGGACCAGAGCCACATTATCTCCAATGAGGCTTGTTTCTCTGGCATTGCAGGGTAGATAGCAGGGATGGGAGTGAGGGGATCTTCTAAGTTGTTTCTTCCTTAGATATTCTCCCACAGCCCTAGACGTAGTGTTTGCTCCCTAAATCCACTATTCCTGTATTCGGTGATCTCTTCTTCTCTCTTAGTAGTGATTCCCCTTTTACTAGCTAATAATTCTTTATATTAAAATTTTCTTGTTCCAGTTATGGTTTGATTTCTCTCTCCTGACTGGACATTTTAAAGGGATCATGTAGAACCCTATTCTGAGAGTCAGAAGTTGGCATCCTGCCTTTAGCTGTGCAGCCTTGACTAAGTTACTTAAACCAGAGTTTTTACCTACATTTGTAAAAAGAGGGTAATATTGTAAATGAGGTTGTGTACGGATCATGTAAAATTTGAATGCACTGTAAATGCACTTAAATGTGAATGCACTTTAAAACTGAAGTGCAATCAAAATGAAGGTGTGAATTATCAGTATAAAAACAGAGAGTAACAAAGGAGAAGATGGAGATATTTTCTATAAGGAAAAAATTACATGTATCTGGGGACTTAGATTATTTCCTGAGGGGGGAAAACAGTATTTCATATAAGATTTATTGTCATCAAATATATAATTTGTTGGTTGACTTTGCCTAACTTTTCAGAGATAAAAGCAAATAGTTGTAAGTATAAGTAGTTCAAATTTCTAGTACTTTTACAACCATTTGAAACACTAGTTTCAGACTTATTTGGTTACTTTCTATTCTGGTATTCTTCACATTTCATTTGTTTTTACTTTGTCTCCTTTACCCTTTCTGAGTTTGATGCCTGTGTCAAGAAAGAATTATTTCATTGCTGAACATTCTATGTGCAGAACATGGCACTAGATATTGCATGCTATTCCAAAAGAAAAACAGTTTAGGAATCTTAAAAGCTAAAGAAAGAAAAGCATGAGTGTATTCAAGTTTTAGAAGAATTCTATGAGGTGGATGCTTGTGGCAGACTCCATCTCATTCTCTTGATTTCTTTGATTGGGTCTGGGTGCCCTTCCTCCAGCTTCTATTTTCTTTTATTTCTCACAACCAGTCCCGGAGACTCTCTTTGGAAGAGTGTCTTTAGAAGACTGCCCAAGGGCTCCTGGAATCGCTTTGCCTCTAGGCACAGAGAATCAGAGAGAACCATCTAAGAGTTTACTTTCCTACCAGGACACCCTTCCCCAAGGACTGCCCTACAGAGTATAAAAGCCCAGCCCTATTGCCTCTAGTAGTAAGAACATCTGAGATGTAATTTATACCCCAAGACTCCCCTTCAGGATCATGCTGATACTAGAATTTTGCCTGAAATAACTTCCTTCCTTGTCCTGTTTACTCAAATAATTGGTGTGTTTTCCTGGAAATGTTTCCTTAATAAATCACTTGTATACGATCCTTATCTCAAGATGATTCTAGGGATCCAGACCTAGGATATAACTATTCCTTTTTACAGATGAGTAAACTGGGGCTCAGGTATTTTAAATTGCACAAAGTCACGCGACCAAGTAGGGGCAGAGTTGTGATTTTATCTATGTCTGTGTGACTCTAATTCTCCTCCTAATGCCATGTTACATTAAAAGTACCTAATACTGAGTATTTTCCAGTTAACCATTTGAACATAAGTGGACACAAAACTCAGCAATTGATTGATCAATAAACATAAAAATTGTATCCCTATAATATGCTATCTCTAGGTGTTTGAGGAGCAAGAATAAGGAGCCATGGACAGTGAGACCAAAGCATGGTATACTCCATCAAGAAAAATCTTTATAAAGGGTGAGACCTACTTGACCAGAGGTACGAAGACCTGTCCCACATTTTAGCAGAGAGTGTTAATGTTCAGTGTAACTTTCAGTCAAGGGCTTTCTTCATGCTAAGGTTGAATTGGGTATTTATGTTTTTTCCTATTCTGTAACAAATTACCACAAACTTGGTGGTTTTAAACAACACAAATCTATTATCTACAGTTGTGGAGGCCAAGGTCCTAAATGAGTCTTGATGGGCTAAAATTGAGATGTAGGAGAGGCTATATCCTTCTGGATCTCTAGGAGTGAATCCTATTCCATGCGTTTTCCTGCACTTAGAGGCCACCTGAACTCTGGTTTGTGGCCCCTTCCTCCATTTTCAAAGCCAGCAACAGCAGATTAAGTCTTGTTTGTATTCTATCACTTCAGCACTGACTCCTGTCTCCCTCCTCCACTTTTCAGGACTCCTGTGATTACAGGCCCACCCAGCTAGTCCAAGATAATCTCCCTATTTTAAAGTCAGCGGATTAGCAGTCTTCTTTCCATCTGTAACCTGAATTTCCCTTTGCCATGTAAGGTAACATATACACAGGTTTCAGGGATTAAGATCTGAATATCTTTTTTTTTTTTTTTGGAGGGGAGGGATCATTATTCTGTCTAATATAGTATTATAGAACATTACATATTCATGTCCTCATCGTTTATATCTTTGTTCAGATTGTAAACATCACCACCCCATATTATCCCTGTCTTTTACCTCAAAAACCTCTATTGTGTTGCCTGAGAGAACTTTCTGAAACCTCTCCTTTTTTTTTCTGCTTAAAATCTACCAGTGCTGCCTATTAAATACACAGCAGAGTCCCAACTTTTTATCTTACTTTGATTCTCCTCTGCCTCCTTCCTAACTCTCCAACCGTATTTCTCCATATACCTGCTGGAATTGGAATCCAGAGCAACCCGGGTAATGTGGATCTTCCAAGATAAACATAAATAAAAAGAGTCCCCTTTATAGCATCTATTCTAGGCCCCTTGCAATGTAATTAAAGAAATTTCAAAAATGAATGATGTTCAGATCAAGGCAGTGAAGTACAGCACCTGTGCCAATCCCTAATTGTGTTTGGGACCTGAGGCAGCTCACCCAGGTGTCCTACTCAAGGTCAGGCCTAGATCTCCCGCTTCCCTTACATTTCTTTGCTTTAGCCATTCTGAATTGCTTAGTTTACTTGGCTCGCTAGACCTTCCACACTTCCCTTTGCCTGAGACATACCTCTCTTTGTGGTTTATGCCTAAGACATACCTCTAGGGTCATCTCTCATAAGCCTTTTCTGAATCTTTTTCCTCCTTCCAACACAATACAAAACTCTCCTTTATGTTCATGTACCCTTTTAAGAAACATGACTTATAATTCACCTCCTCATTTTCAAGTCCATCCTCCACAGAAGAATAGGTGGACATTTTTTTTTTTAATCACTCATCTTTGCATTCTTATCACCTTGCACATCCTCTGGCATAATGTAAATGCTCAACAGACTTCTGCCTAATAGATATTTGCAAAATGATAGTGTGTAAAATATTATTATATGACCACCACCTGAATATAAATTTTTATCTTTAGCATTAAATGATAATCTCTTTACACCCATACTGATGTCTTAAGAGAATGGAATGCAGAAGAGCATGTATTGATGAACAAAAGACAAACTATGCTTAGCCATGAGACTAAGGTTAAGAAAGCAGCCAGATTCTTTGAGAGCTTATGATAGGGTCTGGACAAAATCTGAGAGGTGTTAGTAGTGGTGATGGTGATGGTAGAGGATAAACTTGACTCACTCCATTGTTTGTCAGCTATTAAACCTCTCAATTCTGCTGCAATATTCATGCAAACATGCTGATCCATATTTATAAGGCAGATTTATTTAGCTTAATGCAGAGCTTCAAAGACTTTTTCATCAAAATATCTCTAAAAACGGTATAGTCACCCAATACAGCCAAGAGTAATCTTATTTGAAGTCACTAGTTTTCATATAAAAGTTCATTTGGATTTCAGATTCTACTCTGTAGTGGGTTCATATTTATATAGTTATAAAATATGACTTTTTCCCATACTTTGCCTAAGTGATATTCCAGGAGGATTTGCCATGTTTATCCAGTGGTTTCTTGCCCCAGTGTGGTGACTCTATGGGTGTGCACAACTTTAGTCCTGTGGCCAGAAATACAAGCCCATATCCTGGAGTAAGCAAAGATAAATGTGGGGACACTTTGAAACTTGAGAAGAGAAAAAAACTGAACTCTGGTTTACAACATCTTTTACTAAGCAGAGAGGAGAGGAAAGATCTCTGTATTCCAAAGGAGTACCTGATGTTGAGAAACCAGGCCTCTTGAATTTAGCAAGGGGAAGGTTTAGGGGCTTAGACTCCTCCAAAAACATGCACAGAATTGCATATTTCATTTGGTATTTTATCCAATTACATTATAGTGCTAATTCTCTTTACGTCAAAGTCTCAAATATTTTAGTTATCATAATCTTGGGGCTTCTATCAATTAATTATATTAGTGTGGAAGAGCCAGAATTGTTTCATTTTAATCTAGAATTAATATTCATTGACTGTGTTTCTCCATTTCATAGAACTATCATATTATTTAGTATTTGTCTTATATTGTTCACCGTCTCTTCAACTCAGGAACTTACTCTCAAGCAGCACTGTCAGTTAGTCACCCAGCCCTGTGCAAAAGATCTAGGGACAGGCAAAATTTGACTACTTAAACCAATGTGAGTATTAGATCATTTTAGTGCCAGAAAGTTCTGAACAATATGACTTTTGTCCTTGTAAAACACCTCTTTGTGTGAAATTCATGGACCATGAAGGATATACAAAGTGGGGAAAGAGAACTGCAAAATCATTTAAATCATTGCTCCATCTTAACTATGGAATTCACAACATGTGGAGGAATTTGACCAGCTCAAGAAAAGAAAGCATGAAAATATATTTTTGTTCTTTGACTTTAAAATCATTATGATATTTTATGTAAATGATAATGGATCTTGAGTAAGAACTCTTTATGCTTTTGTTACCTTATTCAACATGCACACAAAATACAACAGGATAATATTGTATTTGGATCTGGAAATATATTCCTTATGCAGTGTTATACAGTCATACTTCCTGAATGTCAATATCCGAACTTATCTTTCATTTTTATTGTTTTGTCTTTTATTTATTCAGTGCCTGTCAATCTTTTATCATGAGTTCACATTCTACTGAACTCAAATACTTTTATACCTTGTATATACTCTTAGTCCTTCCTTACCAGAGTTTTTAAAAACACTTAGAAAATTCAAGTACTTTGATTTTGTGCCATCAAGTAGCTATATCTATCCCCTACTTTGTTTTTTAAGTGAGTAATTCGATTGCTGTCACTTTCTACTTTGTGACTCTAAATCTTTTAGACCTATCTTACCATTTTTCATGCATTCATCCTATCTATAAAACACTGTCTCTTTCTTTTCTAACTACTTCTAATTTTTCATATTATTTTTCCTTCTGGTTTTTAAATGTACATCTTTATTTCTCTTTTTTTCCTTTATAGCTCTCTTTAGTATATGTCTTCAGTTTCCCATTTTCCACTATAAATTTTAAAATAAATTGGAAATATTCGACATGTATTTTTAATATAATGTCTACTGCCTATATTCTAATCCTGCCTGTTTTGCTTTTTTTTATCATTTTGTTATTGATTAAAAATGACAACAATTTTCATGCCAAGAAAGTAAAATAAGCACAAAGGGACAATATTATCATGGCTTAATTTTGGTCAGTGGTGAAAAATCTTGTAGATATAAAGAAAGCTATGGAAAGAAAGTAAACATATTCTGTTTTGAAATAGGAACAGTCAGATGTGTTTTCCAGTCTCTGGAAAAGCATATTATAAGAAATTCAAAAAAAGGTTCGTCATGTTTCCTCATTCAGATTATTGAGAAGCAAAACATGCTGATGAACATTTGGCGGCATTGAGAATATAATTCTAATCATACTAATTATAATAATTTCGCAAACCCCTTCAACCACTATTCTTTGTGCTATTGTTTGCTTTTAACCATTTTGAGTGTCATAGATGTCTTTTAGAATATGACAAATATTAGTGATCGTGCCCTTCTCCCCATACCACAAATGCACACATACATATATCGTCTAAGTATTACATATCATTTCATGTAATTTATAAATCCCTTGAAGCCAACCATTTGCTCTGATAGGAGATTCTTTGAAAGTCCAGCTTAAATAAACCTCTTGAATAAATATTTTTTAATTTATATACAATCAGCTGAAAGTAATCTTATCTGCCTCATATTATAACATTCTAGACATACCTTAGCCTCACTTCTAGGTTGAGTCATGATAGCATAATTTATGTTTGAGGTCCAAACAAAAGTTGAATGAAGGGAAATACAGAGATAGGAAAAAAGGAGATATATAACTGCAATGAATATGAAATAGTTAAATGTATCTTCTAAATTAAGCATAGAATCAACTGATGATAGTTAAGTAAACCCAAAATTTAAGAATTTATTTTAAAAGACAAAGAACAGCAAGAAATTTGCCATCTGGGAAGGTATTAAAGTTTTGAGACAGTTACATACCATTTTATCTATCAAGGAAAATAATTTTAAAACTGAAAAAGGGAGGGTAAATTTCTTTAAGAGAAAATTGTAGTTTAAGATGGGTTATGGGATAATTGGAAATCATATAATTGTTTTAAAGGATTTTAATCATCCAACTTCTCTCAATTAGGTTCTAAGGCAATAAAAGAATCAAGAGCTTAATTAAGCCATTGTCTATAATCTCCGAAAAAACCTGACGTTGAGGAAGTCAATATAAGATAAGTGAAAAGCAAAGCTATCATGATTTTGCAAAGGGGAGAAAGATGAACTCCACAAATTAGAGGCCAAAATATAAGGACATCAAGAGAAAGAAGGGATAACATGAAGCTAGTCTAGCTTCATAAAAAACAAGTCAAATCAAACAGTGTACATTTTTACTTATAAAGCATGACGTTCACTGTGGATCCACGTTACCTTAATCATTAAGTATTAATTCCATCACTGCTTTAAGTATGTCAGCAATGAACACTTAGAGACCAGGCCTCTATCATTCTGTTTAGTATCCTCAAGTGATGCTTCAGTTTCCAAATGTTCTAACACATTCTCCACATCTGGCTTGAGCAGTACTGCATATAATAGGCTTATTTCCTCTCATGAGCCTTCTTAACATTTAATATATGCTCTTCTAATTAACTGCTCCCATTATTCTCTTATATTATTTTTGTATTATCACTCCTGATCATTTTCCAATACATCTTCTAAGCTTTTTCTTGAATAATTCACTAATCCTAATGCTGTCAGATATAAGACTACCACTACAACTTTAATATTGTAAATTTCTAATACAAATGTAATCAATACCTGTTTAATGTATAATGCATTTAGTGTAAATAAATATACTATAAATAAATGTGATACAATTCAATTTTTTACATAAATATGTGATAAATTTTGCTTATGTTATTTAAGGAAAATTATGAATAATTTACCTACAGTTAGTATTGACAATGATATTGGTCAGTTACTATTATATATGGTATAGATTCAAATAAATTCCATCTAGTTTTGAGTCTTAAATAATTTGCATATATTAGAGTCTTTTATAGTGAAGACTACCATTTTACTAAAATTTAAAATTTTCGAGGGCACATTTTTAATATAATGTTATTCTGCTTTCTACTTTAGGTTGTATGTAAAGTTTTATTTATATTTCAAGAGTCTCTTGACAGAACTAGAAATAAGGAAATATTTTCTTAATTTAATAACAATAGGTATTTCATTTTTTTTTTCTAAATCAAATTTGAAGAGGTAGAGGATCCAATATACTTAGTCTGTTTGATTATATTACTACAGTATTTAGGGACACATTCAAACATTTTATGGACCACAAAAGAACAAACATACTACATTTTCTTGATATATATATATCATTGTGTTTGTCTCCATAGTATTTTTTTTCATTTTTTCCGTCTTTATCGAAATAAAATAGACAATTAGTTGCTTGTATTTACATTGTACAATTCAATGAGTTTTTTTTCCAATTATAGTTGGTATACAATAATATACCAGTTTCAGTTGTATAGCATTGTGATCAGAAATCCATGTAACTCACAAAATGATCACCCCACTAAATCTAGTACCCTTCTTCCCCCTTACATATTTATTACAACATTATTAACCATCTTCCCCACGCTACACTCTACATCTCCATGTCTATTCTACAACTATCCATTTGTACCTCTTAATCCCCTTTCCCTTTTTTGTCTCCCCAATTCCTTTCCCATCTAGTATCCCTCTAAATATTCTCTGTATCTATGAGTTTATTTATGCTTTTGTTATTGTTATTGTTTATTTTGTTCTTTAGATTGCACATGTACATAAAATCATGCCATATTTATCTTTCTCTATCCAACCTTTTTCATTCAGCTCAGTACCCTCTAGGTGCATCAAGGCAATATCATTTTCCATCCCCTTCCTTTTAGTCTGTGTGTGTCTTTTAATTGGAAGTAAGTCTCTTGTAGGCATCATATATAGCAGTCTTGTTTTCTTATGCATTCAGCTGCTCTATCTTTTGGTTGAAGCACTTAATTCTTTTCTATCTTAATTCTTTTCTATCTCATTGATAGAAATGTAGTTATTAACACTCTTTATTCATGTTTTTGATAAAAGTTTTTTCTTCTTAAAGTCCCTCAAACATTTCCTGTTATACTGGCTTGGTGATGATAAATTCCTTTAGCTTATTTTTGTCTGGGAAGCTCTTTATCTGTTCTTCCACTCCAAATGATAGTTTTGCTGGAAAAAGTTTTTTTGATTGTAGATTCTGGGTTTTCATCAAGTCAAATATTTTGCGCCAAACCCTTCTGTCCTGCATAGTTTCTTTTGAGATATCAGCTGCCAGTCTTATGGGTGCTCCCTTGTAAGTAACTAACTACTTTTCTCTTGCTGCATTTAAGATTCTCTCCTTGTATTTAACTTTTGGCATTTTAATTACGATGTGTCTTCTTGTTGGCCTCTTTGGTTCCTGGTTTTGAGGACTCTCTGAGCTTCCTAGAGTTGTATGTCTATTTCCTTCACCAGGTTAGGGAAGTTTTCCATCAATATTTCTTCAAATAGCTCTTCGACATCTTGTTTTCCTTCAGGTACCCCTATGACATAGATATTTTTACATTTAATAGTGTCCCATAGGCTCCTTAAATTCTTTTTATAGAATTAGCTTTCCCATCCTCTATGTAGGTCATTCAATCCTCTTCTTTATTCACTCTGTTTATTCCATTTAGTATACTTCTCATCTCAGATAATGTGTTCTTCATTTCTGACTGGTTCACTTTTATAATTTTCATTTCCATTTTTATATTTTTTATCTCTTTATTAAAGTTCTCACTGAATTCATCTACACTTCCCATAAGTTCATTGAGCATCTTTATAACTAATGTTTTGAACTCTGCATCTATTGGATTACTTGACTCCATTTTTCCTGGATCTCTGTTCTGTTCTCTCATATGGTTTCTGCTTCTTTGTCTTCCCATTTTGGCTACTTTTCTGTGTCTGCTTCTATGTACTAAGCAAAGCTCCTAAGTCTCCTGGTCTTATCAGTGCAGCTTTGTGCAGTAGTTGTCTCAGTGGCACAGTCCTGAGAGGGGTTCAGCTGCAGGCCAAATTTAGCCCAAGCCTCTGCCCCTCTGAGGCCACCAGTTAAGATTCAGCAAGCAATCCACAGATGCTGTGCTTATAGTTGCCTCAAGAGGGCACACCAGAAACTGAGGCCAGCGGCCACCATTGAGAGTCTAGGCGCTGCTCAGCAAGGAACACCTGACTAAGCGAGGACACACTGGATGTGGTTTGGTTGAGACCGAGAGTAGGGGGAAGTGGAGTTTCAGGGAATCCTCTGGACAGAGTGACCTCTGTTATCGATTTTGATGATGTCACTATGGCGACGCTGATTCCAAGTACTGGAAGTGGGAAGGGCTCAACAGAGGAACAATGGATACCGCCCAGCGCTTCTGTCTGAGAGAAAGCCTCATTTCCAGCCCTCACTCCAATAACTCAGTGTCTCCTTGTAGGTCCCTGGTACTCCCCGTGAAGCCAACCCAGCACTGGTGCCCAGAGAGAGCTGGTTCGTCACCGTGAAAGTCTGCTTGTAGAAACGGCCCCTTTAAGAGGCATCTGCAGCTGCCATAGGCTCCATCCCACTCACCCGCTCTGGACCAGGCAGCCTTGCGTCCTCGCACTGTCCTACCTTCTGCCATTGCAGAGTGATCTCTTAGTTCCCTCCTTACTTGTATGGCTTGTTCATCTGGATCCCAGGTGATTTTCCTTGCTGTTTGCTCTTGTTTCTGTCACAACTTTGATTTGGTCATCAGAGGGATGAATAGAGCCTCTATCATCTACGCCATTTCCTTCTCCTTCTATATTTTCCCAAAATATTTTAAAGAATGCCAGTTTATGTATAAACATTCCTGGAAGCTCCCACTTTAGCAGGAAACTAAATAAAAGAAGTTCAAATTTTCTAATGGAGATTTGCTTTCTAGCTTTTTTCTCTGGAGACAAATAGGTTTTTCTTCCAGGGTAGGGAGATTTGCATATGAGATACGATTTAAAGGGCTAGAAACGTCTTTGCTGCTCTCCAAAATGCTTCCCTATGTTTTGTCATATTGCTCGATAATTTTGCCTTGGAGAGTTATCCTTTTGAGATAATAAAATGCAAATATCTCTGAAAGGGTGTCTTCTCTTTTAGTCATATGGCTACTAATCAACAAATACATTCATCACAAGATAAAGGGAAGACTGCCAGCTAACAAATCCCTAGAGTCTGTACAATACCAAATATTACTTAGTAATTTTCAAGATTTTCTCAGTGTAGTTTATAGGAATAAAAGGATTAAACATCAAGGGGATATGGGTACGGTACATAAAATTCTAAAACTGCTATTTATTCTGTATTTATATTCTATTGATTTAAAAACAAAGGAAATGGAAAGTTAACAGGTGGGTATATTAGGGTGATACTACTTTAGGTGGGTTGTATGGAAAGGCCTTTCCTAGGAGGTGATTTTTAAGCCAGGATTTAAATATCCCATGTGTGAAAATCTAGGGAAGGACTTTTCAGGCAGAGGAAGTTTCTGTCAGGGAACAATGACAGCAGCAAACTTTAACAGATAACAAAGACATAGCATTAAAGTAACAACACGGAATTAGAAATACATACTTGAAGGTTTTCTTCGCCCTCAGAAAGTTTCCAACATATTGACATTTGCTCAGTGTCTAAGGAGATAATTGTGTAAATTATTGGCATTTGTTCTAGACTATCTGTAGTCAGCGAAAGGCTTTTACCTTGCAGATTCTCCTTGAAGTCATTGGTGGTAGAACTGCATGATACAAATTTACTGAATGAACTAAGCTAATGAGTAAATGTACAAGCCTTTACATTTAATCTTAGATATTGTTTTTTAAAGTTTGTATCAGTAGAGAAGCCTAGATTGGTATTTAATCTATTGGATTAGAATTTACTATTAATATATGTATTTTTTTATTTTAATGCTCACATTATCCAGATATGGTCTTCATGGGCTCCTTCAAGATAGATTGTTTATCCTTTTGATATGTCCCTCTGATTATTTGAATACTCCTTGCTTCCTGATATAACAATATGTTCCAAATTTATCTTCTTCTTTCTCTTCCCCAGCTCTAGAATCTCCCTCCCCACCCCCAACTCCAAGGAACCCTAGGGAACAATATTTAGAAACCAAGATAGATAATTTGGCTTGTTTATTGCTATCGGTGGGCCATTACTACTGAGCCTTTTCAGTGGACAGAGATAGGAAATATATATAAATATATTTCAAATGTATTTAAATGTAATATATTAAATACATAAGAAGTGATAAATTATTGGCTTATTATGAATAACACATTAACATTTTTGAAGGGAAGATATTTGTTTTCTACATAAAGTGGGCCTACAACATAATAATTTTGATCCAAACAAAGCATACCAAAATAGATTTCATTATTAGTTAAACATAATATATCTTAGAATCTTAGATGTTGGAGGGAGACATTTTCTAAAATTGTCATCTAAATGTTATAGAGTAGACCCTTTTAGTGTTGTTTTGGATCTGTTGGAATAGAAAAATAAGGTCTGGGGACAAATGCTTGTCCTAATTCTTCCCAACACTTTTAACCACATGGCAAAAGCATATTAAGCATTCATTACACCCAGAATTTTGAATGCTTATTTATGAAAGGAGTATAATCAAACAAGGAAGTAATGACACTGTCTACTTGAGAACAATATTTATATGTTCTCTTTGGATAAAAACAGTAGCTACAGGTGTAATACCAGCCATTTCATGTAACAATAGCTTGACTATTATTTGGCTAACAACATGAATGACTTTTGATGAAGAGTTATGGACATCCAAATATCATGATTTGTATTATAGAAGCTTTCTAAGTATGTATTTGAATTCTTATAGTTTTCTCCCAGCATGTCATGGAAGACTTTTTTCTAATGGTCTGTCTCTCCCCTATTACATTGGAAACCAGAGTTTCTCTACTTGGTTTACTAATCCCAAAGATTAATTTCATAGAAGTAGGGGCTTATTATTACTGGTTAATTTGCTTTACCTAGAAAAATAAAGTATAGTTATAGTTGGGTAGTTTAAAGTTTGTTTTATGTAGTATAATAAAACAAAGTTTCCTATTCTAGTGCTACATTGTTTATATACTTGTTAACTATTGCATTGTAATAATTTAGTGATCTGAAAATAATGCAAAATATATTTATACATATATATGTTCATATAATATGTAAATTTTATATTCAGCGATCATAAAAAGTAAATACCCAAAGAACCCATAGCTGTAGTAGTAGTAATAACAATAACAATAATAATAATAATAATAATAAAAAGACAGAACAATTTGACCAGCGATAGAAGGCAAGATTAACTAACAATTATTAAGGAGTTACTATGCAATATATACCATATGTATTGCATTTTTATTTAATCATCAAAAAATATAATTGCTAGAGTTGTTACAATCCCCATTTTATGAAAAAAAAGAAACTGACATTACATGTTTTATTAAACTTGGTCAACTTCTTGTGATTAATACATTGCAGAGATAGGACTCAAACCCGCATATGCTTGACTCTAGATCCCAGGCTCTTTTGTGTTCTACTCCTGGCCAATAATGTTTGCTCAATTGATTCTTTGTGTTCTCTTCTGTAAAAGGATATTGACCTATCTTAACAATCCTTATTGTTATAACAATCAGTAAATATGTTCACTACACATCAGTTTATTTTTAATATTCTGTATTCATGATTTCAAAATAACTATGACTCAGTGATACTTTGAACGTTCAGTTTTATTAATTAAAACAGATCTGTGTACATTGAAAAATACTAGTTGAGACAACAGCAAAGCAAGCATTGATTGAAAAGTAACTTAAATTATCACTGAAAATGGACCTAAGATACATGGAGAAAGTATGAACCACCCATATGTGAGTGAAGGCTGGCCTGGAGTTATCTTAAAGGACTTCATCCAAAAGAGCTGTCTAAAAGGCAATAGTATCCCAACAGAGAGAGTCTGTGAAGAGATGGAATCCTGAGACCCAAATCCCAGTCAAGTGCAGGTAAGAGATGCCTACCAGTGAATGAGGAGAGGAGTAAATGGTCTGAAGAACCCTACAAGGAACTGAAACTCTCTGCAAGGGAAAAAGAGCAAGAATCAGCTATGAAACTTGTCAAAGAAGAAAGCAATGATGGCATCTCACAAAGTACCATCAGGCAGGGACTTTCCTGTGCCCTTCTTTCTTTTCCCTCCACCGTCTTGAACCCCAGTATGGTCAGAAATAGTGCAAGTTAGCATTGAGGAGAAGGAAAAAGACAAGTTGGGTACATAGAGGAATATCTATACAAGCCATACTGTATACTGCAAGTGCGCCTTCTGTTGCATGGTTGATTAGGTGAGTGGGGAATCTTTAATTTTGAATGGAGCGTGGAGTTTTTATTATTACTTTGGCTATATCTATTAGTTTCACAACTGAAATAGTTTAAGTGACTAAAGTGCCAGGAGGATTTATTATTTAAGAGAGCTATGGGGTACCAACCAAGATTTTATCTAAGCAAAGGAGAAGAGTTACCCTATAGAGCACACTTTAAGAGATAAAAACAAAAAACAAAATTATATGAGAAAAAAACAAAATCGTATGAGAAAAAAACAAAATTGCCTAAATCATTTCATTTTGCCAATTTATTTCCTTTAGAATATCATATATTTATATATCATATATCAAAAATATGCATTTATCTATATATGTGCATGTATCATATGAAACATTTTGTAATTTTCTTTTTCTTAATTCTTATTTGGTTATTCACTCAATTTCGTTTCTATATATTCTTTATAAAAGCTTTAGTTATAAGCAAGTAAGGGCAAAGTCTTTATATATAATAATCTACGTGTTTCTTTAGCATTGAGAAAAACATATTTTATCTAAACCCACGTGTCATGTGATATATTTAACACCTTATTATACTTGCATGTGATTGTTTATAAAATATAAATCAAATCAATAGGACTAGAATTAGATTTGAAAAAAATTTCAATAAAATATGTAAGACGAGACAAAATTATTTTAATTAAGTTCACAGAGGATTTGAAATTATATGTAAATCTATAATATATTACTTTAGATATGAATTAATATTAGATTTGCATTCAGAAAAAAAGTACTGTGCTTACTTTTGAGTAACATTTAGACAGAACATTAGAACAAGTATCCCATCTTTACTCTCCCTTCCTCCTCTGCCACCTAAATGTCATTGAAAAATCTGTCCATCTTGATTATCAACATTAAAGACTGGTTTTAAGAAAAGCAGGGAACCTAAGAGCTACATTTTAATGGGAGATAGAATACAATTAAATATTTTTATAACTGCAGAAAAAAATGTTTCTTAAGAGGTAACAATTTTAATACCTTAAAAACTATCAAATACCAAATTTTAGATGTTAATTCTATTAAAGATATACAAAACAAGAGTTTCTTAAATGTTCCACATTTAACTTAAAGAGTTCATTTAGGATTTAGTATTCTACTATCAGTATGTGGGCATTAAGGAAATGTTATTTGAAACAGATATTGGTAATTAGCCAAGAAAATTTTTAGAATTTTGATTTAGGTCCTATGATTTAGAATTTAGATGTTGTCCAAAAGAGATTAATATTAGTCATAACATGGACCATAAAGCCACCATTTAAATGAGATAGATATATATATATATATACACACACCTATATACCTCAGGTATATATATATATATGGTGGCTTTATGGTCCATGTTATATATATAATATTCTAGTATACAAAAGTTATTAATGATCTATAATCACCTCATTCTCACGAGTATAATGCAAGGAATAAAGTATATAAAATATTTGTGTTATTTCATTATTAACAGTGATTATTTATGAAAAATAAACCCTTCAAGAATAGCAAAAGTGAATAGTTATTGATACTGGTTGTGATTATATAGAATTTTGAATTCAATGCATCATCAGACACTCTTGATTTCCTACCCATGAACTATTCTCCATTTCCTCTTTAGCGATAGAACCCTGTTTTGCTCACATTGATAATGTTGCCAGATAAAATACTTACCTTCTCAGACTCTGTTACAATCATGGTGACCATGTAACAAAAGTAGGTAGGCAATGTCATAAAAGTGTGGATCTGCTAAAGACTTATAGAAATATTTTTGATTTTCTAATATAGACACTCTCTTTGTCACTTTCTCTTTTTCTAGCCTATTGCATAACTGAAGAGGGAGATGCCATTTTGCCTCCATGACTTGACAAGTATGAAGATAAAACCTTCCCTGTGAGGATGACAGAGAAAAATGATAGAAGGGGGCTTAGACTCCCTGTCTTCAGACTTCTTGTTATGTGAGGAAAATAAAATGCTATTACAAAGTTAAACTGCAGAGTTGGTCTTCTATTTCATGTACCTAAATACATCACATTCATACAATTTCCATAAAATTGGTAAGAATACTTGTTTTAAAGGCTAAATCTGAGGGATTCACATCCCTAACACAATCAAATCTCAGAAAATAATTATAGTGCTTTAATTCATTTTGATTTTAGAATTGATCTTTCACATGTGTATGTGTGTGAATTCTGACCTATTTTAACTATATATCCATTTTCTTGAAAGTTTTTATCATAAATGGATGTTGAATTTTGTCAAATGCTTTTACTGCCTCTATAGAGATGATCATATGATTTTCATCCTTCATGTTGTTAATATGGCGTGTCACACTGATTGATTTGCAGATGTTGAACTATCTTTATATCCCTATAATAAATCCCACTTGATCATGGGTATGATCTTTTTAATGTAGTTTTGAATTCAGTTTGCTAATACTTTGTTGAAGATTTTTGCATCTGTGTTCACCAGGGATGTTGGCCTGTAATTTTCTTTTCTCATAGTGTCCTCGTCTGATTTTGGTATCAAGGTAATGCTCATAAAACTCATAAAATGAGTTTGTAAGTGTTCTCTCCTCTTCTATTTATTGGAAGAGTTGGAGAAGGATGGGCATTAATTCTTTAAATGTTTGGTAGAATTTACTAGTGAAGCCATCTGGTTCTGGACTTTCTTTGTTGGGAGGTTTTTGGTTACTGATAAATCTCCTTAAAATTCAGTCTGTTCAGATTTTCTGATTCTTTATGATTCAGTCTTACATTGTATGTTTTTAGGAATTTATTCATTTTTTTCTCAGTTGTCCAAATAGTTGGCATATAATTGTTTACAATGGTCTCATGATCCTTTGTATTTCTTTGGTATCAGCTGTAACATCTCTTTCATTTCTGAATTTTTTTACTTTAGTCATCTATTTTTTTTCTTGGTGAGTCTAACTAAAGGTTTGTATATTTTCTTTATCTTTTAAAAAATAGCTCATAGTTTCTTTAGTCCTATTGTCTTCTAGTCTCTATTTCATTTATTTTCATTCTGAACTTTGTTCCTTCCTTCTACTAACTTTGGGTTTAGTTTGTTTTTCTTCTAGTTTCTTGAGGTGTAAAGTTATACTGTTTATTTGAGATTTTTCTTGTCTCTTAATATAGGTGTTTATCGCTATGAACTTTCCTCCATTTACTTTATCTGATGGTAAATATCCTATTAAAGAGACATTACTTTATAGAGCCAGGCTATGTCTTTCTCTCTGACTCTAGGACTTCTGTTCTGGCTGTTGCTTAGCTACTCTGAGTACTGAGAACAATTATAAAGGATTCTGCATCTAATTTCGATGGTGGAGGTTGCGGGGGTTCCACACAAAAAGGCAATTCTTGGATACCCATTTGCTCTACAGTTTAACTCAATTCTGATACTATCTACCCAGAGACAGTATCAGATTCCACAGGTTAAGGACTCAGTTCCATTACACTGCCCACCCTACCCTTAGATGGTAATCGCAAGTTCAAGTTTTTACTTCTGCTTCTGACCAATGGGCTATAGATTGAAGGTGACGACAGTCCACTCCTCGGGTTTGATTAATTTGCTAGAGTGGTTCACAGAACTCAGGAAACTAGTTTACCTACCACATTACCAGTATATTATAAAAAGATGAAAACTCAGAAATAGCAAGATGAAAGAGATGCATAGGGCAAGATATGGAGAAGAGCTTCCATGTTCCCTTTGAGCATGCCACTCCTCAGGTCTCCCTGTGTTCACCAACCCAAAAGGAATTTGAACCCTGCCCTTTTGAGTTTTATGGAGGCTTTATTATGTAGGCACAACTGATTAAATCATTGACCGCTGGTGATTGATTCAACTTCCAGCTTGACTCCCCTACCCAGATGTTGGGAGGTGGAGACTGAAAGTACCAATCTTCTAATCACATGGTTGGTTCCCATGGCAACCATTCCCCATTCTTAGATGCTTTCTGAAAGTCACCTCATTAACATAAACCTAATGGTGGAAAGGAGCTTGTTATGAATAACAGTACACCTACTTTGCCTTTATAGCTCTGAAGTAATTTCAGAAACTGAGAACAGGTGACCAAATATAACAAAACATGTTCACATTGCTCTTATGCCTCAGGAAGTTCCAAGAATTTTGGAAGCTGTGAGCCATGAACTAAAAACAAAGAACAAATATATATTTCTCCTTATAAGTCAAAATATCACAAAGTAATATCCAGAGATATTTAAGTTAGGGGGAAAATGTAATATAACCATTTCACTGATTAGTAACTTAAGCCCTAAAATTACATTTCCTTGATCAAAATCATTATTGAAGGAGATGCTGTTTGTTCTGAGAATAAAAATGGTCACTCTAAACACTACATAAGCAATTCTTGAAATAACCTCTCTGAACCTTTGGTTAATGTGAAGGAAGAGGAAAACTTATTAAGTCAAAACAATACTTAAAAAGAAGAGAAACAACTTTCTCAATCTGGGAGAGGTTTCTCCCAGAATACTGGCTAGACTGAGAAACAATTGGAGGCCCTCACATACTTTGTCCCTCAAATGTGAGCAGTACCTAAATGGAGGAAAACTGAGTGAAGTTACAGTTCACACCTAGTACCCATCCCTGGTATAGAGACAGGGATTTTGCCAACCACAAATTTGAACAGTCATTCATTTATTGAAAGATAATTTGTTTTTAGTGGTAGCTAGAGACACTGCCTCCTTAGACTTTACTACCCTCTCGGTACCTATAGCTCTCAAACCCTCAAAAAATTCAGTTTCCAGTAAAGGGATATGAATAAAGAGGGACTAGGGGTAGGGAGTCACTGGGGAGGTTTGTAGGCAAAGGAAACAAAAAGGTTTAGCAATAATTGAACTTGAGTGAAATTTGCTAAGAGTAAATCATGTGTTCTCACCACAAATAAAATAATTTATAAAATGGTAACTGAATGAAATGACGGAGATGTGAATTAGCGTGATTCTGGTGATTGTTTTATGAAGTAAATCAAAACATCAGTGTTGTTGAGCACCTTAAATAAATACAATTTTAGTTGTCAATTATACCTCAATAAAGCTGAGGGGGTGGAAAAGAGAGATTAGGGATAAAGTGGTACATGGAAAGTTGTCACGTGGTGTTAATCGTAGGCAAGGACAGTATTTATGAGCAATGCTTAAGAAGTATAGGATTTTAATATATTACTTAAGGAGAAAAAAATTTAAGTAAAAACAGTCAGATTAATCCAGAAATAAATCCTCATCGTAAAAATCAGAGAACCATGCAAAATAAGATCCAAGGTCACTACAGCCGAGCTTGCTAAAAGCTAGAAATTATTCTAAAAGCCATGTGTATCAGTTTGCTTTCCACTTTAAGAATACAAGGAGGCTTCTATCAGTACTGAAGTAGGCAGTGAAAGACATCTATAGGAATTCATGTTCTCTTTTAATAGTCTAAATGAGACCAATTAAATAGGAATGAGCAATCCTTAGTCAAGAATGAGCACAAAGAACAGTATACAGGCAAATAAACAACACCTACCCTGAGTAAAGAAAACAGATGCAAACAAACTGACTTAAAAATTCTTCAACAAGAATTATTCTAAAACACTTCTGGAAATAATTTTACTATAAGAAGTAGAATAAATTATTTTTAAAATATCTAAAACCGAAGCAATCTAATTGAAAACATTTAGTAACACAAATATCTTGATGAACTTTGCCCAATGTTAATGGTAAAGAAATTGTCTTATTAAAATCCAGGCCCCAAAATATTTAGAGGCCATAAAAAGATAGAAGAAATCTAAAGCAGAGTCCAGGCTTGCTTTAAAATTAAACCTTTGCAACATCAAATATTAAAAATATTCATTGTCTTTTTCTTGTTTCATTTTTTTCCTTTTCTGCAAAGCGATAGGCCTGGGAGCAGGCGGCAAGTGTTCTATTTTCTGATATGTAAATATTTGTAAGTTATAGCATTGACACAGAACCTCTGAAAAGTTTGCTCAAACACATATATCAGGTCAGTCAAAAATTAAATATTGAGAAGTGATAAATTGGAAAGTTTTGAATGAATGTTCTTATGGTGAATGCAGTTAATTTCTGTATACATGGTAATATGATTCGAATGTAATGTCACTTGTAAAAGAAGATATATAATTGGAAAAAACAATTACAGTATATACCACTAACCTATCATTTATACCCCATATTAATTAACAAAGATCTGTAAGCACAGGGATGGGTCAATAAAAGCACATTAAATTTCTTGTCTTACATTAGAGGGAGATTAAAAATTACATTTCTCTGTTAAAGTTAAAGCTAAAAATTACATAATCAAGACCTTTACAAAAGAATATAAAGTAATCCCACAGCAAAATTCTGTTCTAAATATTGACAGGTAAAGTTCATCTAATTATGTGTTCCTTTCAGTAATATAATAAAATTTAAACAAAAAAATTTAAATGTGCAAGGACCACATCATATCTTTTGGATTTTGTCTGTCTCTGGACATTTGGCCACTTGTTTCAGACCAAGGGCTGCTTTGCATGGACATTAATCAACTTCATGCAGGCATAACCCTGCCTCATGTCCAAACCACGTACCTCTTGCCTCCTGTCCAAGGCTTTCATGTTGATGCTGAGGTATGAGGTGCAATAGGGTCTTCTTGCTTCCCTCATTCATGAGCAAGCTAAACGTGTAAGAGACTTAATTTTCCATAGAGTATAACTTTGGCCAAAGGGACACGAGAGAATGGACAAATTCTTTACCCTTCTTTTCCTGGATAAAAGGCCCTCACAGTCACTCATTTATGTGTCCTCTTGAAAGGTGATGCCACATGAATGAGAAAGCAGCCATACCAGGCGGTGGCCAACATGTTAACTCATCCTTGTATTGGCTTTCGCCCTTACTTCACTCCCTTTATTTCATCAGTCATACATATCCTGAGAATGCATTATCTTACAATATAGCATTATATAAGTCTGCCTTAGGTTTTGTTTTCTGGAAATCTCACGGCA